GGCCAAACAACTGCCAGCATGATCTGTTAACGAATGGAACTTTCAATAAATCCATGCACAAACACGTAGATACTGAACCAACATTTCGTCTCGAAACATCAATTTTAAAATATAGAAATACTCGCTCTTTAAGAAAAATCTGATGCTATATTTTTATATATATCATAAGTTACATCTCCGTCATACTTACTGTGTCAAAGATATTGAAGATGCGCATTGATGAGTTTGTTATCTCCATCACAAAACACTGAAAATGGACGATTGCCATCTCTAATTTTTTCTACACAGGTTTTATGCCATAATATAAAATTATTGCTATATTTATTTACGTACATTTAAATTCATAAAATCATTGCTGCGACTGTTTACAGATACTAATGTTCCTCAAAATTCCTATGAAGTGGCCGATTGATCCCTGCTCTTTGCTTTTTTTGCAATTATTTTTCAAATTTGACCCCGTTTTATCGCTTGAAGCTAAAATCTGTTCTCTTATACAAATTCATTTCATTTCTTTATTAATTTAAACACACCACAACCGTCATACTGATGAAGTCCAACTGGTTAGGAATTTCTACGAGTTGATGGACCGAAACGTTCCTGTCCACTCAATTTTTACTAGTATTTATATCAGTCATAATTAATATCTTTATTATAATGGCTGGTGGCGCAAAACATGCAGGAGTACCATTCACCTCGTCATGATAGTTCCCAGACCATTTATCAGATAATGGTGTGCCCTATTCGTAGAAAAAATTTAGTGTCGCACCGTGATGCATACTACGATTGAGATAGATAAAATAATGCCCAGCTGTGGATTTAAATTCTGCACGATCTTACTTAGGAAGTCAAGCGGTATGAAAGTTGATTCTACATTTCGGAATTTCCCCTTAGCCGACGATGACCTGAGAAAGACACCGGCATATCAAAGTGAAAAGAAATTGCAAATATGTTTACCGTTGTGTTCTGCACTAATGGATACAGCTTTTGCACATCTGGATTTTCTTGGTCCACTGTTTCCCATTCAATAAAGCCTGCACCCTGCAAAAAAAAGACCAAATGAACCCCTATTTTGCTATTTTCCTCCTTTTTCTATCTACAATTTTAATTTGTTATGAACTAGTACTTGCGGGACAATTTCAAGGCTCAAGAAAAGTTGGGCACACTGATTGCTCGCATGATTTTTTGATAAACAGAAAATAAAACTACATTTGAGCCATGCCTAGCAAAATCCTTTCCAAATCCGTTTTGAATGTGAGCTAGAAGTACTTGCGAGTGATTCGTGTGATTGCATGCAGATACTAACAAAGTTGGCAAGGCTGCCGATGGCCTCCATTCCTTTGCTAAAATCTTTTGTATGTGGCCTCTCACTAGCGGATGTCAGAACTAAATTCCGGAAAATAAAACAGAAACACAGTACCATATTCAAGGCGTCCACGATTGGCGTGTAGTTGGAGGTGACTTGTATAGCCGGATCGAAGATCAGAAATACGTGTAAACCGTCTTTGTGAAGTTGTCGCGTGTAATTCCCAAATCCACTCCATTTTTCCTGGAAAATAAGGCAGTGAATTACACAGGATCTACTGGCTATTTTCTGAATTTCAACTGTTGCAGCCTGTCAAAATTTCACAAAGTTCACGCACTTTTCCAACGGTGAAATCGGTGTATCGTTCCATATAATCGATATCCGCATATACGACATCAAGTGGTACACCAACTTTTTGTACTCTGCTCACCACTGCTTTCATTTCATCCAGACCACTATATCCATAGCGACAAAGCTTAAAAACAACGACAGATCACTTTTCCGGAATTAAGATATTGTTTAGTCAAACCAGGAGTCTGATAGTAAGAATGGCTCAATAACCTTCTCCCTCTTTCCCAGTTTGCGCACTGGCCAAAACAGTGTAAGTTATTGAGCTTTTTCCACTGCTGGTATTATTCTACTGTTGCCTAGAAAATCGCAAGATGAAACAAATACGAACTGCGCGGATGATAAAAAACTAAGCAGCTGCTCAAAGCACCAAAGTACTGCTTTTTCTTTGCATAATTCACTCGAGATAACTCCCATCAAATGTACAATTATCCAAGCTTCGTAACAGCTTAGGAGTTTGCCCTTGAAATTTTGCTATTGGTTTAGCTTGTGCATAATTAAACATACCGGCTAGACGCACCGATCTGTCGTAGAAAAAAGCAAACAAAGGCTGGAACGCACCAGGCGAGCCGGTGCGATCATGCGTTTTTGCATCAAAACT